AATTGTGAGGAAAAAAAAGTCAGAATTCTGAGAATAAAGTCAGAATTCTGAGATTAAAGTCTGAATTCTGAGATTAAAGTCAGAATTCTGAGATTAAAGTCTGAATTCTGAGATTAAAGTCAGAATTCTGAGGGGAAAAAAGTCAGAATTCTGAGATTAAAGTCAGAATTCTGAGATTAAAGTCAGAATTCTGACATTAAAGTCTGAATTCTGAGATTAAAGTCAGAATTCTGAGATTAAAGTCTGAATTCTGAGATTAAAGTCTGAATTCTGAGATTAAAGTCAGAATTTTGAGAAAAAAGTCAGAATTCTGAGATTAAAGTCAGAATTCTGAGATTAAAGTCAGAATTTTGAGAAAAAAGTCAGAATTCTGAGATTAAAGTCAGAATTCTGACTTTTTTCCGATACTAAACTGAAATAAAATTTAAAAATCAGTTAACTTTTTTTTTCCAGTGGCCCTAATCCTCTTCCGTACTTTTAAGATCTTTATTGCAGTTTCAAACATATTATGAGTGTATTTTTTACCAACCGTCTAATGAACTATTCAGTTATTAACACAGTAATTAAAAGTATCACTTCCTGCTTTGCTGTTGGTGTCGTGTTTAAACGTCTCACCATCATGGTGAAATATGCCATGTGTTGGGCTATAAATGCGGTCAGTTAGTTCAGTATCAGGAGGATTTAAGAGGAATTTTTCGCGGCATTACATCTGTAAAGAGACGTCCTAGTTTACAGTTGCGGAGGGGCCACCCAGGTGTCAGTGATGGGGCCCCTAAGAGGCCATGGGCCCCTAAGCAGCTGCTGTCACTGCTTACTGATAGTTACTCCATTGTCCCCCTGCTCCCTCTTTCAGAACGCTCCCTGCAGAGACTGGCTCTTCTGCTGGACCACTACGGCCTGGATGTGAAGGATCTGACCCCGGAGCAGAAGGACGACCTGCCGGCGGCTCTGAAGCAGCTGCAGCTCGACGCCGCCTACCGTCCCCAACAAAGTGAAGGTGGGTGAAGCCCTTTTTCCACCGGTTTCAGCTGCAGGATCTGATCTCACTGAAATGAAACGGCTTTGTCTGTGTTTCCATCAGATCACTATGGAGAAGATGCAGCCAAGAAAAAGGTGAGCGTCTCTCATGGTATGCATGTATAAAGTGGATTATGTTGAATCAAAGTGAAGAGAAATGAAGCTAAACTGATGATGATGACAGGAGGATCTGTTATTATTCATTCTGCTTACTTCATATTTTTATCAACTGGTCAGAAAATAGTGAAAGATCTCAAACCTGGGCGTGCAGGTAGAGCAGCGGTTAACTCGCACAACCCACATACAGAGGCCTTAGTCCTTGACCCCGACCCGGGTTCGAATCCGACCTGTGGCCCTTTGTCTCTCCCCCTCCCTCATACCACCTTTCCTGTCAGCGTACTGTCAGAAAAACGAGCCACTAGTGCCGAAAAAACTGCAAAAAAAAATAAATCTCAAACTTTTAAATGTTGATGATTATAGCAGCATATTATTAGCATAAACTTCATTACTTTGTACACTGGAAAAACCATGTAGAAATAAGTAAAAAAAAATTATTAAGAGTATTTACCCTTAATTTGAGTAGTTAAATTAGGTAGTTTGCCAAAGGAATTGATATTTAAGAAGATAATTAGCCTCCCATTCTATTTTAGAAATTCTAGGAACCACTAGTAAACCTGCAGACTGAGAGCGAAGTGCTCTGTTAGGAACATAAGGAACAATCAGATCTCTGATATCAGATGGAGCTTGGCCATTAATATAAGGTTCTGATGGAAAGGGGCGGGGCCAAACATGGACCTAAACTTTAGGTCTTAAAGGAACCTGCTGAGCCGCGTTTAGTCTTAGCTAAAACTTGTGTGTCCAGACTTAGTTTTTTTAATCCAACCCATGATTAATCAGGAAGTGGTTTGATTGAGTTAATGAGACTAAAACCAACCAATCAGCTGACAGGACGGAGCTCCTGTCCAGCTAGCAGCTCGTCTCTCTAAATGTCTGATTATTTTCTCAGGGAGAAGCACGAAGAGAACCACCGACCTGCTTTCCACAAAGTCAGTCCTGATCGAAGCTGTTCTAGATCTGCCATTCTAGATCTGCTCTCTAAAATAAACAGAGGAGTTCTGATTGATGTGAAATCTCCTTCCAGGGACCAGTGATCAAGTTCAACAGCAACCAGCGCTACGCCACCACCGCCGTCACCGCCTGCGTGGTCCGAGAGGTAGCCAGCAGGGTCGGCGTGCCGCTGCAGGTGCGTCTTATTCAAACCATCAGTGGTTACTTCTCTGAATGAGTGAATAAACTCGCAGCAGTCAGCAGATAGATCAGCTCTGTGGAGGAGATAAGCAGATAAAGAACATCTGATAACATCTGAGCTGCTTTTATGGCAGCAGAGACCCTGGAAGAGCTCCAGCAGCAAAGTTAAACATTACATCCGACCCATGAAGGAGCGACCTGAAGCACTTTAACACTTTAAAACCTCTCACGAATTTAAAGGTGCTTTAAAATACAAATAAAATATGTGGAAGGTATAATCAGAGCAAAGATTAAACAAACAGATCAGATCTGGGAAAAAAGCTCCATGTAATCCAGCATGGAGGTGGAAGCATTATGCTGCGGGGTGTTTCCTGCTAATTGAGTGTCATTTTTTCTTGTAGGTAGGAGCAACATATGAATAATAAAACTGAAACATAGAAGCTTAATCATGGGTGTTTTAGTTGCTTTTTATGTAAAGCTACAGTTAATCTGAGAGGCCACTAGAGGGCGCACTGACCTATTAATGTTCTGCGTCCTAAAAGCAGATCTGAAACTAAACTCAGAGCTTTTTTTTCCCCCATGTTAAATCCACGGAGTCCTTTTAGAATAAGACTTCCTGTCTCCGTCTCCTGCAGGATGTGATGGTGCGTAACGACAGCCCCTGTGGGACCACCATAGGGCCCATCCTGGCCGCCCGCCTCGGCATCCCGGTGGTGGACATCGGCGCCCCTCAGCTGTCCATGCACTCCATCAGGGAGATGTGCTGCACCTCCAGCGTGCTGCAGAGCACCACGCTCTTCAAGGTAACGAATTCCTTTTTCTAACAGCTATGCTCTGTATGCTCTGATTTAAAGATGTCCTACGTGACCCATGACCCCTGATCTATGGCTACGTTCACACTGCAGGCCTTCATGCTCAATTCAGATTTTTTTATGAAATCACATTTTCAAATATATGCGACTTGTATGTGATCTCTTGTGTGAACTGCAGTCATGCAACGCAAGTGTCCCGCATGCGCAGTAGAGGACGTGATGACGTCACAGGCCAGCGTTCTCTGTGTTTATGGAAGTTAACATGGATGCTAGTGCTGGAGAACATCAAGCGGTCTTTCCCAACCATAAAAACACAATCTTTTCAATATGGTTGAACATAAATTCTGCTCTCCGCATCATCGTCTACCATGGTTGTTATTTTTCTTGCCACTCCAGTGTAGCAAGACCCAGCATAGTTACCTTTGTCGGGTATTAATCGCGTTCCGGTCGGATGAATGCGACCTGGCCGTTCAGACTTAGGTCGCATTTGAAAAGATCAGCTGCGTATCAGATTCAGGACCACAGAGCCAAGTGGCCTGGGTCGCATTGGAAAAAATCAGATCTGTGTCGTTCAGACTGAAATAAAAAGATCGGATCCAGGTCGCATATGGGCAAAAAAATCGGATTTGGGTCACTTCAGGCTGCAGAGTGAACGTAGCCTAAGTCTACAGTGGACCAGAATAAACAGCTTTATACTCAGAGTGATCCTCTGTAGTTCATCTCGGTTTAAACCTCAATATATTTAGTCCGGTTTAAAAGCTGCACAGAACCGCAGTCGTCACGCCAACATGTCAGTGTTTATGGAAACCTGCCAGTCTGCAGGTTATTATTAGATTTATTCACTTTAGGGCTGCAAATAACGATTATTTTGCTCATCTATGAATCTGTTGATTATTTTTTCAATTAATAATCTGATTACAGCGGAGTATTAGGACCAGGCTAGAGATATTTTTCTATTTTTTATTTTAAGAATAAAGTTGCAATATTACGAGAATAAAGTCATCAAACATCAACCAGCTTCAGAATG